TCGTTCGCGAAGAGACTGGCCATCATCATTAACTTAACGAACCTCAAAATGCCCTTCGTGGCTCCATGGTGGGACTTGTATCACTGATGGACCTGCACAGCTGCTGGAGTTATTCCAAGGAGTCCTGGGTGTCATCCCTTTGGACTCCCAACAGGTAGCCCTGCCCAGCCTTTGGGAAGCCATCAGAGCATCACCCTCACCTGCAGCCATCTCCTGGGAGCTGCCCACGGGTGGACGACTGCACAGTGTGGTCAGTGTGACGTAAAAAACCTGGGAGAAAATGAGCTAATGGTGACTACTGTTCAAGATTTACAAGCTGATAGCTGGGGTGCAGCGTTCCCCGCCCTTTCTCTGTGTTTTATATTAAGTGTTATTGAGTCGAGCTAAACTGTCTGCAAATGCCATCAGGATGAGTCCAGTGAATTTCCTGTGGTCACGGCAGCTGCACTGTCACTCCTGGGGTCTCCCCCAGGAAAGGATTGCTGACTGACTAACTCTGGTAACAGTGTCAAACAAGCCTGTTTCCAGGAGCAGAATTCCATCCACAGTAAACATCCTTGAGCTGAGAACTAGCGTGAGGTGTTCTTTTTCAGCCTGCCAGCTTTCTCACCTCTCTCCCCTCCTCTTAAAGAGGCAAGCAAACCAAATGGTAGTGAGCTGCTAGAACACACCAATTTTTACAGAAAAAGTGGTGAACCCTATGGTATTCCAGGAAAGTGTTAAATTCCCAAGTTGCAGAGGCAGAATGCCTAACGGTGGTTAAGTCTCCTCAGAGCTATATTTTCAGACTCTGTAGGCACCTGTGAGCACTATTTATGCACCATCAATATTTCCAGCTCTTTATGTTTAGCATCCCACTATTTTCTTGAAAAACATTTCCTAAAAAAAAAAAAAAAAAAATCAAAAAAACTACACAAACAAACAAACAAACAAAACCACACACCCAAGCTATTGCAGAAAGGGAAGCAAATTTACAAAGAGAGTGCTAAAGTTTCTCTCCTTCATTTTGCTAATCCCTGGTCCAAAAACAACCGTGATGTGCTTCCTTTATGGAAATGGTTATTGATGTTCTTTTCAAGGGGTGTGTCATTTACTCTGCCTGAGTAGGAAGATGAAGAGCACAACACTGTCTTCCCCCTCTGTAGTGCTGCAGCCTTTGAAAACAGGCAAGAACAGTGAGAATTTCTTTCTTACTTCTGTGGGCTTCACCCACAGCCAAAAATGACAGCAGGTTCAAATACTCTCAAATAGAGGATGGTCTTCTACAAGTATTTCACCATTTCAGGAAGAAGATGAACAGCTAAAAAAAAAAAATAACTGGTCATAATTCAGTACTTACACAGGGTAACTTGAGGATCTCTAATCGTAGAACACTTGGTAGCTGAAGTTGTCAGACTTGATTCTGAAGTTGTACCTTCCCATCTTTCGCTGGTACTGGAAAATGAGAAGGCTCACAACTCCCAGCACAAACCCAACCACAGCGAGGGCAATGAGGATGATGTATCCAACTCCCATCCCAGCCTCCTTCTCTCTCTTCAAATCAGGTGCTGAAAAAAAACCAAAAAACAAACAAAAACCCCCCAAACAAACAAAGAAACAAAAAAACCCAAGAGGTGCAAGAAAAAAAGCTTTGAAATTCTTAAATATTTTACTGGGGCAAGAAATAAACTTTTCCTACAAATTAGCCAGCATGCCAGGACAGAACTGTGATGCAGAAGGGTATCAGCCTTTTGGGGAGGGTGATTCTCATGAAAATGTCATGAGGACAGTTCATGTTCTCCCTTGTGCATACAAGTGTAGATTCCCTGCAGATATAAGTGTGATTTTCAGTAAAATAGGAATTGAAGAATTAACACTGGGGACTTTTTGAAATGCTGCCTTTCTTTCAGAAGAACCTTAAAGGTGAAGCATTCTTTCATCTTAATCCTGCCTATGATCTGTGATTACTAAAACCCACTCGATTTGCTTTTATCACATATCACTTTAACCACAAAGTATTTAGGAAAGGATTCTCCACGTGTGCTGTGTCAATTCCTGTGTTGCCAACTGTCTCCCAAGGCACCACCAACCATCAACAGAATGTGTTCTCCTTGTTTCCATTTAGACACTTCCATATATTTGTCCAAATCTGCCAAAAGATACCCCTCTCCCTTTAACACTATGCCTCTCTTTGTGTCTGTACCTGTACTTACAGTTCACTCTTGTAAAGGATTGGTGCACCTACAAAAACATCTATTTGTGTGCTTACATTTTCAGGACAGCACTTACTTAGACAAGCACTTATGTGGTACCTGAGGTACACAGAAGGCAAATAAATACTACTGCATTCATGCCTGCAATTACAGGCAAGATTTTTGGCCAAAGGGCGCTGTTGGCAGCCACAGAGGTGTGCAGTGGCTGTGTCCAAGCTACATAACACCCAGGGTTTCATTCCAAAGGCAGGTCAAAGCAGTGCTGTATAATATATTCAGTCTTATTTCTGAATTTCAGTATGAAACACGGAAATAAAGAAGGAGATGCACAGTGGAAGTGGCAGCCTGTATCCAGACTCAGACAGAACAGGCCTTCCTGAGGACATGTAGCAGTGGCCTTTGCTGGGGGATGTGGCCAAGTGCAGGCAGAGCAGTGAAAGTTTTTCTGGTATTTTGCTGCACGAGTTACATCTGTTATTACCTGACATCTTAATTCGTGTTGTCTCCTTCAACACAGAGATGTAGATCACTGTCTAGGTCTATCCTCACACTTAAATGAGTTGTGAGTGTTCAAACTGGAAATAGGAGACAACATCCAGTAGTGCCACCTTTGCCAAGGAATCAGTGCAGTACAACCCAAATCAAGCTCCTCTCACCAGAGGCGATTTGGGGAAATGGCCATTTTTTCAGTATTAGAAAAGCATGGGAGTCTCCTGGGGAAAGGAGAGGGAGAGCTGCTTGTTGTAAGAGCTGCAGAACAAAACAAGCTGCATTAATTGCTAAGTTTTTTTTAAAAAAAGAACTGCTTCAGAAGTCAACACTGAAGGCTTATTCAATCAGACCAATATTTGCATGTAAAGGAAGAAAAATACAATATACCAAGTCAGAGTCCGTTTCTAGGTCCAAAAGAACATTGTGAACTCTCTATTCACAGCAGCCACATGTTAAAACTCTGATGCTGGCGAGCCCAAATATTCTCATAGAGTGTTTTAGATTAATCAGTTACGAATGCAAATGGCTAGAGGAGGCCTGGTGACTTGAAAACATTACAGACCACAGGTGCCCTTGAAAACATCACTCAGGTTAAATGCAGAAGAGGCAGGTGCATAACAAATTAGACCTCGCTTGTACATAATGCTGGTATTTGCTGTCTATTAACCTGTACTGCACCTCTCCCCCAATGTGCTGTGCATCAGCTGTGCTCTCTGCCACTTCCCCTCGTGGTGGCAAAGTCAGTGCCAGGGAAACACAAAGGGAACACAAGAACAAAATCTCTTACATCCTCTGATATTGGACTTCAGAGCTCAGTACAATTGCAGACTTACAGCAGCGCAAACACTTGGAAAACTGATTGCAATCTAAAAGATTGAAGCTGCTTTCACACTTCACAATTGAAATAGCTGTTTGATTTTGTGGTTGCTGCCCTGTGCAAACAGCTGCACAAAGCACTTTATCTTCCTTTCTGCATTCCCTTGACAACCTGACAGTCACTTCACCTCGGAGGGCACGGGGCTCTCCCCAGTGCCACGTGGCTTCAGCCAAGAACGCCTGATCCTCAGGAACAAATGCAGAGGGGCATGAAAACCTTGAATCACAGGTCTTCAGGTTCCTTTGCCAGTAAAAAATATCTTGAAATGATAGCTGTGGTGTGCCCCCTTTCTTTGCAAGCATCTGCTCAGAACTCACCAGCTGCTCTACACAGGGGTCCCCAGGACGTTCTGTGTGTGGCAACGACTTCTTCAGCCTTCAGGAACCCGAACCGTGGTGTGGCATCTCTGCAACAATCAATCCACACTCCAATAAGTAATGGGGCTTACTTAATCAAAAATACAAAGCCTTCTGATGAGCATGTGAAGGCCCAGTGCTCTTCTCACTCACTGGGGTTTTTGTTTCTTAATGTCGTGCTTCGTTTAACTGAAATTAGCACCAAAATGAAGTTCAAAGGAAATGGCATCAGTATGAAATCTGTAATTAGTCACACTGGAAAACACTGCTGTGACCAGACATTTCACACAGACAATGCCTTTCTTTTGGTTAACTTCCTGTTTGTTTTAGAGAAACCTTATGGGAGAATAAACTTATCACTATTTCCACATGCCAGGGTTTTTGCAAACATTTTTCTTGGGATGTTTCTACTGCCCATGGCAGGCACAGCAGATGCTAAAACCATCACCACCAAAAGCGGCAGCAACTTTCAGTCCCTGCCAAGCCATGTGTCATTCTGGAGCTGCACACAGCTTCAGTGACATGTGAATTAATAACCTGGGAACTACTGGTTTGAAAGCCCTGCCCTGTGAAATGTTGGGAAGCAGCTGCTTCAGCGCACTCATCCTCTGCACACTTCCTTGACAGCATTATTCACCTTGTTTGCCACCTTTTTGGTTTAAGTTGCAGCCTAAAGGTCTCTGATGGGAACAGAAGCATACTGGAGTTACTGAAAAAAATACTGTGGCTCTTCTGGAAGTGCACATAAAAGAGAGTCTACACAAGAATCTGTTCCCACCTGTTACACTGAAAATCCTCTACGATCCAATGCCAGAAACAGCGTCTTCATCTGGGTCAGCCCCCAGAAAAATTCCCGTCTGCCTATGACTTTGGCCTACCCTCAAATAGCTTTCCCAGCTGGGTGGATCCATTAGAGAACACGGTTATGTAGCTGCTCCCTGATGGCAGTGATTTTGTGGTTCCACATGGCCACAGAGCAGCCACGTTCCACCAGACACCTCTCCTCTTTCAAAGTCATGTTTCTTACTCATTTCTTACTACATTGCTCCCCAGGCTATTTCTTTTTACTCTAAACTCAAGGGCACCTCACTCTCTTCCACTGAGAAAACAAGGGGCAAAAAAAAAAAAGACTGAGTAAGAAGAAATAATACAACATGTAACTCTCAATTTTGTGGGTGAAGAGCTAAAGCAAACCTGACCTGAAGCAAGTCAGTGCTCTCCAGACTAACAGATCAGAGGATCAGATCCCAGACCCTGGGCACTTTCCCAGCCTTCTTACACTATTTCCAAATGTACCCTCTTGCTTCAGTTTTCCTTGATCTTTGCACCTCCTGCACCTCCCACTCCCTTCTGTGTAAAAGAAAAAGGTCACCCTGCCTGGAGGTGCCTAATGATTGTCTTCTCCACATCACAGTTTGGTCTCAGTCTAAGGTAATGAATTCACTGACTTTTCATGGGGGCAAATTTCGCATAGGAGAAAGCAAAATGTACATAGACATATAGATATATGTATAGATATATAGATATATAGATATATAGATATATAGATATATAGATATATAGATATATAGATATATTCCTCCTCAGCTGTGCAGGGCACAGTGAACTCAGGGAGGGCACCACCTCCTGCAAAGGAAGGTACAGTCTGGGGGCTGCTGAACCACTGATTTTCAGCATGTGTATTCATACTGAACTGCAAAAACTGGAGCCATCTCACCATGGTCAGTCTTGTTTCCTGTCCCTACTTTATTTATTTATTATTTATTTATTAAATCTGGAGGAAGCTTTCTACTTAGAGAAAGGAAACAAGTATCTGCTGGCAGCCATTTTTAATCTCTCAGGAAGAGATTGTTTGCTGTATAACGGGCTGAAACTGTGTTATCTGGAGCTAGAGGAAAGTGGTAAACAATGGAGGAGCACCAAACTTCTAATGAGAACATCCTTGATAGAAAATAAGCCAGGAAGGCTGGCAGAAGAAGAGAATTCCCAACTGTCTGCTATTAAGGGAAAAAAAAAAAAAACCATCAGCAAAACATATTTTTTTCTTATTTCTATGGTAGCAACACATTTTTAGATAACGCTGTGTATCACTTTCTTGGAAGTCAAAAGAAACAAAGCAATGCCTTGTAGCACAGACAATTAGAAACTGCGGTTCTTATCAGAACATTGCTTTGTTTATTGCTTTAAAAAGCAATCAGGCTTTAAAAAGCCCTAATAAATTCTATTGGAGTCACAGACCCAGAAACTTAATGCCACTGAGCTTCCTGTCGTGGCACCTAAAGTCTCAGCTGAAGCACCACATCTCTAGGGGAAAAGAAAAAGGACAGAAAACCTTCCTGAACCGATTTACTCTGATTTTTCCTGCTGACACTGCCAATATGGGTGCTCACTTTTTTTGTGTCACGTCCATCTGAGCTGACACTTTCCTGGACAGTCTAATTTTGTTGCCTTCCAGTCACCCCTACTCAGAGGAGGAAGGTCCAGTTCTCAGGTTCCCCAGTTCTGTGCAAGCTCCACGGTTTTAACCACGAGCAGGAGGAACAGGAAGAAAGGCAGACGCTTCCATATGGTTGTAGTCCTTCTCCACTCCCCTCTGCTCCTGGCAGAGAATAAAGGAAACTTCAAGAGCCATTTAAACCCTGTTTGGAAACATTACTCCTTCTATTCCATTGCAGGCAGCATAAAGCGCAGAGAAAAATATATTTTTTGGGGGGGAGAAAAATAGCAAAACGCTTACTGTCCTGCAGGTTCTTCCCGGTGTCTCCACACAGATGCGAATTCTGCCCTGTAAGTAAACCACAGAATTGTTGACAAAGGAAAAAAATTTTCATCTTAAACTGGGCTTTGCTTGAATTCCCATTCTCTAGCAGTGTGGTGTATGTATTTGGGATGGGACAGCTGAAAAGGAAGAGAGAGAAACCAGACATAGCAGATAGGGCTAGAGAAGGCGGGTTGTGCCTATAGCACATGATTTGGGTTGTAAGGCCTTTAATTCCTTTAGGAGGTCACAGCCAGACCCTTCATGAAGCAGTTCTGGCAGTGCAGCGATGATAAGGGGATGTTTGCTGCTTATTCTCACAGTAACCAAATAGAAGAAGAGATTTGAGAAGTGGTTGGAGGGTTGGAAAACAAGGGAAGGAGTAGCAGAAAGAAGAATCCAAACTTGGCTTCACCAAACACAGGCTGAAAAATCATCACGTTAAAAGGAGTCTGCTTTGTTGCTGAGCAAAAGGATTATTCTGTATTTTAAGATGGCAGGTGAGCCCAAGGAGTGTGACATTGGGGTGACATTAGTGATCCAGACAGGAACAAAGCCCCTCTTTTACCAGAGGCTGCATTAATATCACGTGTGAGGGATTAGCTAACCTATTTCTTCATTGATGAGAGTCACATGAGCTCTTGGTGAAGCTGAAACCACAGAGAAGTCTCTGAACCACAGAGAAATAGATAAAGCACACATTTTTCAAATGCTCTCTCACTGCTGACTGACAAAATCACCTTCAGGTCAAAAGTACAGCTCCTTGACAAAACTACAGGGAAGACAATGAAGCTCAAACAGCTATGACATGGCCCTTTTGAAAACTCTTTTCACACCTTCTATTCTTGTTCAAAGGTGTGACCAGTCCAAATGGAAAATGAACATGTATATGAATGACAAGAACACATATAAAAGACATTTAAAATGTAACACATGAGCAGTCAGTGCCAATGGAAGATCTAAGGCATGGCAGGTGCTATTTGTGAGTGGCATTGCTGTACCTGTTGCTGATGAAAACAAATGAGAGGGGATCCACTGAATTATTGGTTGGAGTTGCCCAGCAGTCAGTGAGAACCACCTTGAGCTTGCTGTCCCCTCTCTGGATCCCCACTTCGATCAGCACATCGTCACTGGCAGAGACACTGAAGTTTTTTGGTATTGGGGAGTTCCCAATAAACAGCTGCATTTCTGTTCTGAAGCCCCTGGATCCGTGCAAATCCTCAGAGATGGTGTAAAGTCTGAAAAATCAATGAGCCTCCTTTAAAGACCACAGATTTTACTGTCTGTTTCTGTAAGTCATAAATCAGTGGCTGCTTGTCCACCTCTTGAGCAAATAAATAGTGAAGAGTTATCTGCAGTCCAGGGTGTCAGGACACTGCTCAAAAGGAAAGGAGGAAAATGCATCCAGTTGGGAAGGCAGAGAGAATGGAAACACAAGCGGGAAAAGCCAAAGGGTGGAATGTCCCTGCAAAACAAACAGGGCAGAGAGAGAGGTTTGAGTGGAGCAGAAGGGGAACAAGACCACGAGTTCTCTGAAAGTTCAAAATAAGGGCAGTAAAAAGCTTAGTGTAGAAGAGAAGAGCCAGAAGAAATGATAAGGGACAAATCTGAACAGTAAGGGAGGGGCATGAGAAAATTACAGAGTTCAGAGAGAAGGAACCTGACAAAGAAAAGGAAAATACAATGTCTGGACAGGGTTAGGAAGCAGAAAGTGGATTTGGTGCCAATGGTTTAAGCAGGGTGGCAGGAAAGAGAGGGGAAGTGCATTTGTATGAAGGGAGGACATTCCCCATCAGGGCAAAGCTTGTGCTGCCGCATTTTCTGTGAGCATGGGCTTGATTTTCTGTCAAGGGTGGATTTGATTACATTTAACTTGAAGATGGGCCCTTCCATAAAAAAAACCCCATGATTTGCATTAGGTGTCTCCTCTTTTTCCAAGTTGACCAAATCAGGATTTGTGGGGGGTAAAAATTGCCATTCTCAGAACCCACAGAGGAGTCTGCAGGCCCACATCAGGTAAAAAGATTAGTGATTGATATGTTCCAAAGGCAGGAAATTGCTGCTATTGCTACAGGGGATTGCCCAGGAAGGCAAAGAGAAGTGAGGAATTCTGAATTCCTGAACCTGCACCAGTGGCTCCCAAAGGCTTATTTTCCTCACAGGCTTGTTGGTTGCTGGATCTAACGGCACATTAGGTGGAGCAGGAGAGAAGCACATAGCAGGAATCCCCTGAGCACAGGGCTCCCAGGATGGCAGGCTATTCAGCATTGCATGTACCTTCACTGGGTACAGCTGCAGCCCGTGAGGACCTTTCCAATGAAGCAGCGCTCAGCCACACAACAGCACTTCAAAGCAGAGGGAGTTGTTACTTACCCTTCTGCAGCTTACCCAGAGGAAGCCAAGACATAGTTTTGGAACACAGTGAATGGGACTGGCAAGTTTCAAGTGGTGGATTATTCCCTGAGCAGGAATGTCGTTCCGAAGGATGGTTTTCACCACAGTATTAGTCATGTTCTGCAACACAGGAGGAAAAAAAAAGCACAGCTTGTGAACATCAGTGTTTGTAGGGATGCAGCAGAGCTACAGGTTTACCAGTGTCAAATGCTTGGGTATTTTCCATTCTCCTGGCTACAGAAATCACACTAAACCTCAAATATCTCTGTTGCTCTACAGTGAGAGAATGAAAATCCTCAACTCTCCCTCACCTTCCTTCCTATCATGTCATAGAATCATAAAATCACAGAATGACCTGGGTTGGAAGGCACCCTAAAGATCATCCCATTCCAACCCCCTGCCATGGGCAGGCACTCCTTCCACTAGACCAGGTTGCTCAGAACTCGATTCAACTTGGCCTTAAGCACCTCCAGGGGTGGGACAATGATCATTCCTTAGCAATGATCATTGCTCCAGAAGGGAATTTCTGTACTTTGGCCTGGACTGAATGTAGCCTCTGGTTTGGGATCCAAGAAGATAGCCAGCCCTCTCTGTCCCCATGTAGCAATTGAGGTATTTGTCAAAATGAGACAATGAAATTTCTTCTCAGAAAATTCAGACAGTTGCAAAGGGAGCCTGGAGAGCCATGGGAAGTGACTCTCAGTTTGGAGAGACCCTCCCAAAGGAGGACAACAAAGTTGGTGAAGGACCTTGAGGCGAAGCTGTGTGAGGAGCAGCCAAGGGCACTTGGTCTGTTCAGCCTGGAGAAAAGGAGATTGAGGGGAGACTGTGGTGACCAGTGACAGGACCCAAGGGAATGGCCTTGAGGTATGTCAAGGGAGGTTTAGGTTGGATATTACGAAAAGGTTCTTTCCACCTAGGCTGGTTGGGCACCGAACAGGCTCCCCAGGGCAGTGGGCACAGCACCAAGGCTGACAGAGCACAAAAAGCATTTGGATGATGCTCTCAGGCACATGGTGTGACTCTTGGGAGGGTCCTGTGCAGGGCTAAGGGTTGGACTCAATGATCCTTGTGGTCACTTCCAACTCAGCATATTCTGTGATTCTCTGAGTTTTGCTGCCTGACCTCAAAGACTCCCCGTCTCTTTTGTGCTTGCCCCCCATCCCAAACAGAGAGGTAATTTCCCATCACAGGAAGGTGTATTCTATCTCCAAAGGAGTTTCTTTGCATTCCCTGGCTCAGAGGACTTACAGTCTCCACCTCGGTGCCGCAGTCGCTCCATCCTGCCTGCAGCACAGCGTGAGTGCCATTGCTCCTGCTCACGTTGCAGTGAGGCTCCCCCAGGTACAGGGAGGCTTCTGGGATGGACTCCTGCTGTAAAAACCTCTTCTGGATGGCCAGGATGATCTTCTCTATTCCACAGACCACGCTCACTGCGTCTTTAATGGAAGCCTCCTGGGCAGGTTTGGCAAGGGGGGCTGGAGATGCTTGAGGGGAAACATCAGGAGTTGACATGGGATCCTTGGTGAGAGGAGGCAGCACCATGCCTGGAGAACGTGGTGTCCTCCACAGCTTTGTGCTCAGCAGCAGAGAAGTCCAGTGAAGCAGGGGAAGAAGTTTGCAAAGACGTCACAGATAAAACTTGGTTGTGCACTGGTTTCTTATCTGTCACTGTTGCCTTCTGGCTGATAGGAAGTGCTGAAGGGTGCCAAAAAAATAAAGGTACTGTTGTAATTTACAGGCTTGGATTGATTTCATAAGGCAAAAGCAAACTCCAAGGAGGAAACCCAGAGTTACTGGCAGGAAACTAGCTTCTTTTTTTTTTTTTTTTTTTTTTTTTTTAACCTGCTCTACTTGCTTCCAAAGCTGCGGCTTTTTTTAAGAGCCCCAGAGACACATCCAGTGCCTGTCAGTAAAGCTCAAGTGCTTTATTTCCTGACAGCTGCAATAATTAGTGTGTAAAACATGTATATATAGCTTTTGGAAGATCAGTGTTTGCAAGAAATCCCCAACTGTTAGTAGCTCAACAAGTGTTCATATGTTTTTGCTGAGTACTGTAGGAGACTCCACAGTTCTGGGTGAGGTTATAAACAGGAGCAGAGTTTGTTAAAAAAAACCTTGCCCCATTTTTGACCAGTTGCTACCCAAAAAATACGACTTTGAGCACTTGGAAAACCCATTTTGGGGGAAGTGTTGGACAAACCTCATGTAGCAGACCCACACTGCACATTTGTGTCCTGAGAGAGAGTGGGGAGATGAACAAATGTGTTGGTAGCAACCTTTAATGGTTTCAGGAAGAAAGCAAGTGGAGAAAAAGAAGGAAAAAGGAAGCACAGGTTGAGATCAATATATCTATTTCCTTCTGGAACTTCCCAGCTTTCAGAAATGCCCCAAATGAAAAAGTTGCTGATTTGAGCAACAGGAGGAAGAAAAATAAAAGCCTGAGCTCTTTCAGAGCTGTATTTCCCAAAACCTTAATATGATCTTATTATCTTAGTTAAACAAAACTGAACTGGTTGGTATCAGCTGACAAACTGATGTGACTTCAGTGAAAGAGTTCCTTATCAATGTGGTTACAAAAGCAAATATAAACTGCTGAAGAACCCTAAGAGAATTTAGGAGCTTAAAGACCCATCAGACACCAGCTAACAAATGACTTGGGGAAGGAGAGAGAGCAGATGAATCAACTCATACCAAAAGGCAGTTTGTAATACCAATGTTTCCTTCCTTCTGCCATATAGAGGTCAAGCTACCTATCAGGTACTTTCTGTTACCTTCTCTGTTATCTCTTCTGTCCCCTCTGATACTAATGAACGTAACTAACAATATTGGCGATCCCATCTAATTTTTGTGGAAAATATGAGAAACAACTGTTGAAAGGACCTTGCAAACACAGCATTAAATACTCGTTAGTAAACTGTCATGACAGAGTATTGCATTCAGAAATACTTAAAGGGCTTTCCCCACCAGGATCCAGCTGAAAACAAAGAGGCAAAGCAATGCCTGGCAAAACGATGAGACCTGTGACAAGTGTGACCATGACCTAGCAAAGATCAGATCACTAAGCATTCAGTTAGCCACTAGGCAATGAATATCCTTTTTTGCCTTCACAGCTTCTTCCAGGCCTCTCTGGCTAAACATCCACGAATCCTTCCTTGCAGCTGCACTGGTAGGAGCCCAGCGTGTTACGGCACGAGGCATCCGGGGAGCAGTCGTCCTCTTTGCTGGTGCATTCATCATAATCTGTTGGGTGGCGCATTTAAGCAGGAGAAAGACAAAGCTGGAGGGTGCATAAACGAAAATCTGATGGTTCAGACACTGGGGAATAGTCAAATCACCAGGGTGTCACGATGAGGTCACACCTCTTAGGTGTGATACTCCACCCCTGTGTGTCAGGCAGCTGCTGGGTCTAGGAGAGGTGGGATACTGGAAGCACAGCCTAGAGGGAAAATTGCAAGGCACTGACAAATCCCCTCCAAGAGCTGGGCTGCCAGTGATGCTCAGCTGATGCTTAAATATAGACACACTGCTCCTGTCCTCCTAAACTGATCAGCAGCCCAAGGGGATGCTCCTAACCCTGAGGCTTCCTCAGTTGTTCCCCCATTTCCCACTCCTGAGGAGGTGGTTGGGAAATGCCCAGCATGAGTGAAGCAGGAGGGTTGTGTGGTTGGTCCAAACTGCAATCTGTTTGCTTTCCTAATTTTTACCTGGCCAAAATTTTCACTTTTGAAAGTCAAAATATGCTTTTACTTTCCTTTCTCTCCCCAAGGTCTGAAAATCAGACCAGATAAGGACATACCACCTTAGGTGGGACTCAGAAAGCAGAACCTGCTCTATGGGGACCTGTCCCTGCCACAAACCATTTGTTTTAGCACAGGTTCAAGGGGGACAGGTACTCTACAAGCCCCACCATGAGATAGTTGTGATCCTACTAATTAACACGATTTGTAACTTTCCAGATTTACAGCTGTGAGTGTAACAAGCAAAAAAGGACGCACAGGGCAGAGCATAAACCTGTTTCTGAAATAATTTTGCTTTAGATTCTAACTGACAATTTTAACAATATTCTTTGGACAAATGTCAAGGATGTTGTATTTGGTATTTTTTTCAGAGAGAACTTGTGAGCAGAATTCAGCGGCTGTTAGTCGGGAGACTAATGTTTCTTGTTACTTATTTAAGTTATATATAAAGGAAAAGAAGTTGTACCATCAGCCATCGTGCTGGTCTTGGCAAAGTGTGGGTTTTCACCTGAACTCCCAGTCCTCAAGTGTGTGAGGAAAACGTGCTCCCAGTGAAGAAGAATTCACTTCTTCATTTATTGCTTTCTTGGGGTTTCTATCACATGCAAAATTATCAGTGCAAAGCAGAGGGCAATGTGTTTCTCAGTTCTTTTAGACAGAGCTAGTTGTGGCTGTGTACGGGGATCCATTTCCACTGGTAGTTTATAAACTCCAAAATTTGTGACCACTGTATCTAGCACCCCCTTACCTTCTTCTCCATAAAACTGATTCTAGATATAGACAAAAAGACCAGTTGGTTTTGTCCTTTTGGATCAGTGACACCTCATTTCCTATGTCATGTATTCATGTTAACTGAAAAACCTTACTGGATGGATAAACAGGAGCAATACCAGGAGAGAGAAAGGCTTTTCATCCATCTGTTTTACATATACTTTCACTTCAAATGATACAGATTAATAACAGGCTTTATCATCTTCCTAGTTCTGAAGAACTCTCGGGATTCAAGCTGCTCCTTACCCTTTATGGAGAGGCTGCTCCTGTCAGCGGTGAAGTAGGAGCTGTGTTCCAAAGCATCCTGAAAAGTGGTGATGACACAGTGGACATCCACATCCTCTGCAACCACCAAAGTGAAACCCACCACCCTGCTGCCGTTGGTAATACTCGTTATCAGCACTTTAATCACACCAGCATCCACCTGCTGGAGAACATCGAGGGGTAGAGATTTATGTACCCGGAATAAAAACAAAATGCACGTGGAGTTAAATTTTGCACGGGGCAATTGAATTTTTAGGCTGTGTAGGCTCCCAGAAGAGCATTATGCATTTCAGTTGTGCTCCGTCCTCTGGAGGGAAGCAGCAGAAAACTGAACTTCTGCTTGATAACATTTTCATTCTACAGAAGCTGAAGGATGTGGTGTATATTTAACCATGAATAATAAACAAGCCAAGCAATTAAAATATCTCATCTGACATTTGGCACTGGTCCTCGCCTCTGGTAACAGAAAGGGAGGGAGGAGGCTGCAGGGGAGTTCCTGTGTTCTGCCTCTCAAAATGCCTCCAGGGAGAGGGGAAAATCCAAAATGAGGAAGAGCTGCCAAAGGAAGTGGAGATGCTCTTGACACTCCACGCTGCATATACCTCTCAGAGGGGTCCCAAAGCCTAGGCATATTACAACTTGCAGCAGACCACCCTCAAGCCTTTCTTCATATCTGATTTCTCACCAGATCCAAGCCAATAACATTCTTTTTAAATGCCCCCAGACCAGGGTAAAGAAAACAGAAAGGTGTTTCTTTTTTTTTTCATCAGCTCTGCCACGCAGTTGAACCTCCCAGTCTTCAATTTGATTTCAGAAATATTTCAATCAAATCTTCTGTGAGGAGTGTCGTATTTTTTCTGCAAATTCTGACTGTCATCAGGGCACACAGCCCTGACTCATGATCCTCCTGGAAAGCCCAGGAGCTGGGCTAGGAAATGGTTCTGCACTATTTTAAAAAGGAACAGTCAGACTCAAAGCATTGCAGCACCAAATCACCGCTGAATTTAGGTCAGTCTAGAGAAATCAATAAAATAAACACTCACAGTGTGCTCAGTCACCTTGGACTTCACTGGTGGCCTAAAAAAGAAAATGCCACCTTTTTCAGTGTGCAGTGAGCCTTAGTCATGACTTCAAAAGCTGCCTCCTTTGCCATGCTGGAGAGGAAGATGGGCTGCTCTCTGTGGCATGGGAAAGCACAGCCCTGTGTGAGGGTTTGCATCAACTTGGCTGCCCAGCCTGGCCACTGCCCAGCTCAGATGGAGCCCCCAACCCCTCTCAAAGAGCTAAACACACTGCAGCTCATGCTCAGCCTCTTCCCTTCCCATCCTCCAAGGCTGGATACCTCTGGAGGGCAGCCAACCAAGGGAACATCTCAGCCTCTGCACACAGGAGAGCACTCCATGGGACAGGGCACCCCGTCTAATGCAGGAGCCCAGGAGAGATGTACAACAGCATTTGCATTTCCAGCATCGTTCCCCTTCGCCTCCAGCACCAGCCATAGGAGAAGTAGACATAGCTCAGATGGCATCACCTCATGGGAGCAACACCAGATCAGACACAAGGCTGATGTTAATTCAGCTTTAGAGGACATTTTGAGGAAACATTGGACTCAGAAATGCAGACTGTTTCTGAGGAACTCGCTGTGAAGAGAAACTGGTAAACATCCACGAGTTCTCATCCCAGTCCTTCTCCTTTTCTTGCCCAGAAAAGGGGCCTGATAAGACAGCATTGGACTCCCTATCTGCACATCCCAAAGGAAAGCAGGGAACAACACAGATACACACAGAGGTTTGCATGCCATCTAACCACAGGCAGAGCACATATCTGAAGACCAGGTGCCTGGGTAAGCCCAGACTGTGTGATTTCATCCACCAATGTCCTGAATTTTTCCATTAGTATTGTATGTTTTCTTCTCTCCCTCTCTCCAGGAGATGCTCACTGATCCTCTGAGTTTCTTAATCTCCTTCCCAGTGCCTGGGAAGTCTTTTTACACTTATAGGTAGAAAGTACGGCATGAGTGGGACATAACTTTCAAGCCTGCATCAGGCAGTTAGGACAGGCTGTTCTGAGCTATCAGCATTAAAATTGCACTTAGAAACTGCTGTCAAGAGTGCAGGGGGACACTGTCCACAGCAAGACAGCAGCTCCCAGCAGCACAGGAAAGATAAATCCCGTGCTGACCCTATCAACCCTCCTGAGACTGGAATACACACAGCAGACACAAGCTTCAATTCAGGACACAGACAGATGGAAACAGCCAAAGAAACACTTACATTTTTGTGATTTCGCAGCATATTTGCTCTTTGCCTTCCCCCTCCAGTGGCTGTCAGGTTCCCTGGAGAGGAAGGCACAGAGCAGCAGGGCAACCTCACCATAAGGGCCAAGCGGCAGCACTTGGCCCAGGTGAGAGCTGACACTGCTGCCCTGTCAGGAGAGTCACTTCTTCCCCACACCTCACTTTTCTTTAGGTCCTCTCTGTAGGGTACATCACTCACTTCCCTCCCCTGGCTCAAATTTTCAGGGAATTAAGGGGTCAGGTGGTGGCTACACTGCAGCCATCTCCAACAGCTTTTTCCTCCACGTAACTTCTGCAGGGAGTATCTGGAGCAGGGGGGTTGGGCTTCAGCCATGACTTTAGGGCAGAGATCGTGCCAGTGGTGTAATGATCAGGGGTGCCAGCAGTGACTCCTGCCAGGGAAAGCCTCGGGAAGAGGCAAGGCAGGAGTCAGTGCTGGGAGCCAACAGTTTCTCTTGCACCCACGCACAGAGCTGATGCATTTTCTTCTGGGTTGTCCCAGGTGATAACAGCTTTTTGCACACCTCTGTGCCCTGCCTGCTGTGCATTACCCAGCCTTGACTTGTCCATTATCCATTATCCAGCCCTGGAGATGGCCCTCAATTTTCATCTGTCATGATTTTCGTCTAATTGAATACAAACACCTGTGACATCCTCTTAGCCCACCCTGATTTCATCCTCTTTCCTTATCCATCCTGAACATTTTATTTTTTCAGTTCTTCTTTTTTCACAGAATGAATCACAGAATCATTTCGGTTCAAAAAGAGCTCCAAGACTGAGTCCAACCTTTGATCAATCCCCACCTTGTCAACTAGACCAGATCACTGAGTGCCACGTCCAGTTTCTTGAACATCTCCAGGAATGGCAATTCCATCATCTCCCTGGGCAGCCCCTTTCAATGCTTAACAGCCTTTTCAGTGAACAAATTCTTCCCGATGTCCAGCTTGAACCTGGCACAGCTTGAGGACATTTCCATTTGTCTTATCAGTGTGTCCTGGGAGCAGAGCCTGACTTCCACCAGGACACAACCTCCTTTGAAGGAGCTGTAGAGAGTGAGAAGATCCCCCCCGAGCTTCCTTTTCTCCAGGCTAAACACCCCCAGCTGCCTCAGCCTCTCCTCATATGACTCGCTCTCTAGAGTTTGTTTTGTTTCTGCCCTTATTCTTTTTTTTTTTTCCTCTCGCAGCCCGAAGTGTCAGGGGACATTCACTGTACTTGTATTTAGCCACTAGGTGACACTACAAAACCCTTTATGCAAAAGGCTTCAGGATTTCACAACAGGTACCACACCCCGAGTTATCAAAACAATGCTTGATGAAGGAGGGCTAGAAGAAAAGGGGGGAAAAAGAGAACTTTTTGGAAAGAAACATTCAGTATATAATACCCTTGAGTACGGGGGTTTCTTATAAGGCAAATTATCTGTGAGTCTGTCATTGTATCCACAATTTCTGTAGCACACAAGGGAAACCTGAGCAGTGGCACAGCAGGAGAAATCAGAATGCCAGAAGAGTCACAAGAAAGGGAGAGAACATGAGCAAAATCAACATCAGCTCCCTTTCTCAGGCAAGAAAAACAGGAGGCAGGTAAAGTCCATTTTCAGGGCCAGGTGGAAGCCACACTAAACCCAATTTAACAGGAAGGAAAAGGCTAATATTTGGGGTTTTTTTTTTAGGAAAAGGGAAGTGTCAGACCCAGGCAGCCAGGCTCACCCCATGGATGGCTGTGGCATGTTTGGTGGGTTTTCTGGGAGCACCCATCCATAGGTCCAGGGAAAATGTCAGCAGCCACTCAGGAATTCAATGCATCTCAGAGAATGTATTCTCAATTCAAACCTTTTGTTTTTCCTGATCCATTTTCTTGAGGACAAGCCCTAGTGCCGTGATATTCTTCTTGGCTGTTTCCAAAGACAGGCTGAGCACACCCCAAGAAGACTAAAACACTCTTTCACCCCCAGCTATGTTGTTTTTCAGTTGCATTGCAAGGAGGATGGCGAAACTACCCTGGGCAATGACAGTGCAAGTTGTCCCATCAAGTTTTCACCTCCTTCTGATCTACACATTATTTAAAGGATGTTATTTCCATTTGCGGTGCTGCCAATTTAACCACATGGCACTTAAGTGCCGGGGCTGAAGAACATTATACACATTAGGATTTATAAATCCTCTGAATTGTAGATAGTGATTCCAAAGAGGTTTTAAAAACATCTCTGGCAAAGTGTATTTAATTGGAACATGATAGTGCTTTTAAAACCTGTAGAACTTTCCTAACTCACTTTAAAGGATCCATTTCTGGTCCTCATAACCTGAAAAGAAAATCTGCAGATCTTTCTGGTCTCCTAAACGTCACTTTCCTTGGCTTCTAAAAACGTAACATGTTTAATATTATTTTGCTGTGATATTATTTTGCCATGATATTTTTTGCCATATCCAGTAGCTGTGCAACTACAGACTATACAGACTGGCTCAGAGGTGGGAAGGAATCAGCACTGACATGTCTCACCAGCTGATCCACAAAACTGGAGCGCTGGAAAAAGGAATTAGTTCCTTATAATCACAAGCGGTCATTTTCTGCCTGAAAACTTGAGAACCAGGTAAAACTGACTCAAAACTTACTTTTGTTCCTTTGTGCTATCGTTTTATGATTTTTCCAAGCATACTTGTAAGCTGTGATTTTCTGGATTAAAGCATCTGACTGAATAAGGAAAATATATAAATTTTAGTGTGTTTCAACACTGCGCTGTTCTGTATTAGCCCTGGGGCAGAACGTGATGCTGAAAGAGAGTGAGGTCAGTGGAGAATTGCTCCCTTTTCACTTTGCTAATCACGTCACTCTGGTTTTGTCACTGCTTTCCTGATGTGACAGCTCGGGGCCAGAGCCGCTCCACCAAAGCTGTGCTGCGCTAACACATCCAGAGAGGTGCGAGCCAGCAACCACTGCTGGGACGCTGATTTGATATCCAAGAAGACAACACCACGCACAGATAAATGGATCACCCTTCTCCCTCCCTGCAGTTGTCTCTGACCCCACGCTGGCCTGACCTCTGCCCCAACACGCGCTGCTGTCGGTGCACCCGCTGCGTTCAGCTGCGTTTCAGTGCCAGGCTGTGACTCCGCACACGGGGAATTTAGGGAGGCCTCAGCAGGGTTTGAAATTCATACAATCATCAGCAGTGGATTTGTCATCACAGTTATCAAGGCCTCTGAATAAACAGACAGTAAAGGGGAGATAAGGAAGGCAATAAAGCAGTGCAGCATAACCAGCGGGTTTTCCAGGTGCGTCTGAGCGAGCACCAAAGGAACAAAACTTCTGATGAATTCACTCCAAAATTAGAAGAGTGATACTGTCAAAGGCAATGCCTGAGAGTTCTGAGAGTGTTAAATGTGCGGCGGATATCACGGTGTGCTTTGATATCCTGCACTCTAATCAGAAGTGAGGGCAGAGGTGACGTGACAAGAAACCACTCCCTTTCCAGATCCGGGGCCACAGAAACAAGGACGATTATAGGAACTGTCAGCCTTGAGGTACTATGACAAAAGGTAATAGCAATCATACAGTTAATTAATCTAGTGCTGTGCAGGGCAAAGATAGCAGAGCTCTTTGCAAGTTCCATTAACTTTTCACCACACCCCTGGAGGAAATCAATAATCCAGTGCAACTGGGTACGAGAAGCAGAGGACATGGAGGCACCAGAGAACCCCTAAATCCTCATCTCCCTCTAAAACACAGATCTACACTCACCCTGCAGTCTCAGACCGTCGAGGGAACTCAGATCTCACAGCTGTGCCCAGGGGCACACACGAGCCTTCATGGGAGAAAGACCATACACGTGGTTTCTTTTAGACAGGTAACAGCTCACATCCTTATAAAACACTTACTTCATCAACAAAGAGCTGTGCAAAGGCTTGATATTCCTCACTGCTGGTATTGCTAAAGCCTGGGGAGTATTCCACGTTTGTTATCCGAACTGTGCCACTAAGCTTTTGGACAGCTGCAAAGTAAGAAAAAAAAAAAGACAGCTTAAATTCATGTTCTGTGGACTGTAGCCCATGGACAAGGGTATGACAGTCTGCAGCATTCCTGGCCACCTGGATACCTGTATGCATCAACTCATAACAGTAGAAAGCCTGAAAGGTATCCAAACCCCCGAAAGTCTATATATAAGTCATCCAGCACCTTAGTCTGCCCTGTCTGAGCCCCAGATGACTCTCAAGAAGGTCACTGACCTCCTGTAAGTCCTATATCTGCCAGCTCTGTCTGGGATGCTCGGCTAGCTGTCCCACCAATCCCTCCAGAGTGCAAACCACTGCAGCACCAAGGTCCTCCCTGCAGCCTCAGAGGAAGGCTGGGCAGCTGCCTGAGGCTGGACATCCGCACTTTGGACAGCTGTGGTGGGATAAGATGAATCCCAACAGGGTGTATTCTTTCCCCCTGAAGCCACATCACATTAAGGCAGCCTCAAACATTTGAGGTCATTTCCTGATATCATTGGCTTTCCCAGTACCTCTGAGTTTGGCATTGTTACTACAGATACTGGAGGTGATCAGAGGTCAGATAAAAGGGCTCCTCAAGACATGGCTTTGTACTCTTGGCATCCTTTTAGTGTCTTGCCAGGCAAGCTGACTGCCGTCACTCAATACTGTGACCACTGCCAGCAGCTCTTCTTCCCTCTGCCTCCCAGCTGCTGACAGGTCATCACCCCTGACACACCAAGATCTAATGTTACAATGGTTTATACAAACAAGGGAGAGTCTTCACCAAAAACCTCAGGAATTCTATTATCTGGTTCAGTTTAAGGTCGTTTGTGAATCAAGTTACAAGTCTTTACTTCCTGGTGCAGCAGCTCGCTTTGCTCCCTGCACACACCCGTCTGCATTCCCACAGCATGTAAGGCACCAGGTTCCAGCTCTGTCAGATTCCTATACTGAGTTTTATGTTTTTATATCCCATATATTTTTGAAACAGCAAGAACTGTAAAGCAGGGCTCTGCATAAACTCTGTGGGCCACTTTGCAGCAAAGCTGGTTCTAGTCACACTGGGAAAACAATCATTTGAACTGGGATGGGAAAATTGGAGAAAAAAAGAAATAGTAATCAAGTAAAGCTTTGCAGGGGAGAGGAGAAATGCCTGCTTGAAGTGAGCCACTGAAGGAGGGATCCTTTGTCCCAGCATACTTCTGATGCTGAAGGAATCCCCTCCACCAGCAGTCTGATCCAAGATTTTGGGCTTGCTTTTCGCTATGGCTTGTGTCCTGTCAGGTGAGCATAGGTGTCTGAGGGGTGAATCACATTCTTTTATCTCAGGAGAGAGGGGAAAATGTCCTGAACAATTCTCAAATGAAAAAAAAAAATAAAAATCAGTATTTAAAAGACATGACAGAGTATAAAGAGTTGGCTGAGGTTGAGCCTCCAGATCAGAGATGATGCCACAAGGAGGAGCTACATATTAAACTCCACCAGATATGGATTTTTGCCCTCTAAATTCCTGCCCCGGGCTAGTGAGGTGCCACCGTGGTGGTTCTTGCTCTTGTTCCTCAGGCATTATCCCTTCACAAGCTTCATTCCCAGCAAAGGCACTTGGCTGAGTATTTGATTCTTCAGGAAAAAAACCCAAAAACCAAAAACCAAAAAAACAAAACAAAAAAACCCCCCCCCACACACACACACAAAAAAAAAAAAAAAAAAAAAAAACAAACCAAAAAAAAACCAGGTTTTTTTATAAACTGAACTTGCATAGAATTCTTCAATTTCTTTTCCAGCTGAAAGAAAATTACCTCTACTTTTTTGTCAGTTAAAACTAGCTATTTTGGTGTTTAAGAAAGGAATGAGGGAGAACCAGAAGCGGGTCTGGATGAGTGGAGGCCACCAGAAAAAGGAGATCATAGGGGAGGGAGAGAGCAAAGAGCAGAGGGGAGCATGTTTTGGGATCAGAAAGATGAGGAGGGCTTGGAGAGAGAATAAAGACAAGCAGAAAGAAATCTGAAATAACTACTGAATAGCAACACACTATAGAAGAAAATACATTTAGTGATGGGCAGAGACAGCAGCATTCCTACCCCAAACAAAGCTGTAATTTTAAAGACCAAATCTGACTGTAACTTCGAAATATGATTCAGCCCCGATCAACAGAAAAATCCCCTAATTAGCAGCAACACATCTGCCCAAACCCAAACAGATTAAGCCCTCCTCGGCAGCCTTGTTATTCTCAATTACAGCTCTTGAAAAAACGTCTCACAGGTTTCCAGGCAGCTCCTGCCTCACAGGGGATTTGTGGGGGACTCTGACTCATCATCCTCTGGTGAGAGGAATAGGAAGGCAGGTCGTTTTCCTCCCTGGCTCTCAAAGTTAACTCTGTAGGCAGCTGCTGCTGCAGCTCCCTGGTGCCAGAGGATGCAGGAGAAACCAAGATGTGTGGGAGAAGGACAAGCAGCAAATGCTGGGATGAGCCACGTTTGGTGCATCCCGAGTGCTTCCTCCTATTTGTGCTTCCTCCTCTATTATGTGTTTCTCCTCTATTATGTGTTTCCTCCTCTTTGGGATGAAGCAGCGTAACACGGATAAAACCAACTGCCAAGTTGCCAGGAAGAGAAATCATTGTGGCCAGCTGATTTAGGGGGAAAAAAAAGTGCCAACTCCTGCAGGAAAACAATTTTGACACCGAGAAACCAGTTTCAGACGCCTCCACCCCAGAGCTCTGATTCCAGCTGTGCATCTTTGCCGACTCTGAGTGAGGCTTTGCTCCTCGCCCAGCCGAATTACCGTGGGTGTCAATCCCCACCCTACTCACTGTTTCTTGTTTCAGGAGCCATTGTTTCAGACAGAGGATCCACCATCTCACCTGCAACACAAGGATCACCTTTAAATGGGACCTCAGAATGGAAGAGGAGGCACCAGGGTCTGACCTGCAAATGGCACCAAGGCTCCTCAGCCACTTGTCAGGACAGTGCAGAGACAGGTCTTGGCTATTCATTAACATCCTGTAGCTTATACGGTTTTTATGGAGGTGAATCTGCCTTGTGACTACACAAAGAGGGTCTCCTCTTCTGGTTGCTGGGCCATGGACCATTAGAGTGAGAGGAAATTAGCCACAGGCACACCAAAAGAGGAAAAATTAGTCCTTGTTGCTCATCAGTCAGTTATTTCAGAGAGATTTCATCTGAAGATATATATATATATATATATAAGGTTCAAAGACAGATCAGATACAGTCTTTCAGCCAGAGACTGCAAAGGTGCAGTTACATGAACAGATGCCATAAAAGCAGAGGTAAAACCCCTCAAATTATTCCAACGTTTCATGGCAAAGAAAAACCACGTGTCAGTCTTTTTCTCACCCTCACAGTTCCTTCCAGGTCTGGATGGATTGGTATCCATGGTTGTCTTGCATCTGCACATGTAGGAGCCCATCAGACTGATACACTCTGCAAACACAGAGCAGTCGTTCTCGGTGTGAGAAGCACATTCATCCCAGTCTGTAGACCAAAACAGGAACATGGGTCAGAAAACCTCCCTTCTGGCTGCATTAAGACAGAAATAACCATGAAGTAGTCCTTCTTCAGTTTATTACTGTGGTCTTCCTTTTCCATCATTTATCTGTCAGCCAAGCTGAGTGATGCAACATACTGTTGGCGTGGTTATTCTCTCAGATATAAATGTTTTGTTCTTGTACTCTGAAAAATATTTTCTCTGTGCAAAGAGTTTTTTAGTAATTATTTTTAGAGGTAAAAACTTACTTGAAATTAAAAAAAAAAAACCACTGTGGGTGTGTGCTATAGCCATATCAAAAGCACACACTATCCCAAGTTCTGTGTACAGTACCTCCAGATACATCAGGAAATTAATAGATCTGTTACTACTAGCTACTAGTGGATAGAACATTAAATAGAGACTTAATCGAAATAATCTTTCACTTCAAACAAAAAGTAAATGCAAGTAACTCCCACGGAAAGCACTCTTCCATTCTTAACAAAGGAAGACCTAAGGGCAAAATCTCTTTTTGTACAAGATTTCTTCTCAAATGTAATGCTGTAAAACTGTGACCCCCTTTCTGGTAGTCTCAAAAAATGGTTTCTGGTTCACCAATGCACGAATATGCTCTAAGGGTGTCCCTTATGCCTGGTTTAAGCTGCTGTGAATCAGTTAAAGATGCTTCTTTCATGCAATTATAGACCGATTTATATCTGGAGTCTTGTGTCGCCTCTCATACCCTGTTCCAGCAAGCCTGCAAAGGCTGAGTTAGTGCCTTGAACATGAATAATGTCAGAGAATCCCACATGAACCCTCCCTGTGTGCGCTCCCCTCATGGATACACCTTCCCTGCCTCAGGGCTGTGAGAGAGGGAGAGCAGCAAACCAGACTGAAAACTGTGTCTTGGGACAAATAATTCTAATCAGAGGCAGAAGATTGTTTTGAACAACATATTAGCATAAATGCTTGTTCTGCAAACAGGCAGAGATTAATGACTGTGATTATTTCTCCTAAACAAAAGAATGCCCCATTCTGTGTGCATGCCCATACATGAATTCTTCTTTCTGCTTGCAGACAGCCTTCCCCCTTTACTTCCTTCCAGCTAATACTTCAATCCTTTTTCCTTCCTTTGTCATTAGCTAATTGTTGTGTCTATGATAGCCTCCATTAGACATCTTTGTGTGCCTGTGGCCAGCATCTGCTTATTATATCACAGCCTAAGCCACTTAGAGGAAATGCACAAAAGTGCAGGATTGACTAAACACCAGCTATGAAAGTGCTCTCATTAATTCCTTACTGTGCTGTGGAGTAATTTTGACTCCTGATGGCTTCACACACCATCTGAGAGACGATCCCGTGCTAATTGACAAATAACTCACATTCACTGCCTCCATTGTCTCTGAGGGTTTCCTTCCTCCTCACTTAGCACGGCTTTTTAAGCAAATTCCTTCACCTCTGATGGCCACACTCAGTCATGCATCAGGCCAAAACACTTATGTCCTCCCCTCAGTGCTCACTGGCACTTGTACATCACTCGTGTATTTACATGCACACACACACACACACACACACTGCACTTTTTTCCTCTGTAACCATCACATCTCAGCCAAGGTGTGCCCTGAGCTCTCTTTCTGCTCTCTTGGCATCTCTCTGGCCTTTCACGTTTGGCACTTCCCTACACACACCCCCCTCAACCAACAGTCCTACCCTGAAAATTATAAAAAAAACCCACCTTGGTGTTCACTCTGATTACCCATTATACTTGTAAGGGACACATGTAGTGGGCAGAAATCTGTGAAATTCCTTGCCTAATGATGTTGCAGATGCTAAAGATCTGCATCATTTTGTTGCAGTTAGGCCAGGGTTTAGAAAGGCCCCTGCCAGGAACAAGTCCGGGCTTGTCAGAGCTACATCGGGACTGGTTAAACATTAAGGCTATGCTGACCAAGAAGGAACAATAAGCAAGGCAGCCCCCGGGGACAAGACAAATCTACAACTAGAGATAAGGTGTAATCCGGTGGTGGGATTTAGTTAAACGGTGTT